CCCACACCCAGCCACACCCACACCCGCACCCACACCACCCACACCCACACCCACACCCACACCCACACCCACACCCACACCACCCACACCCACACCCTGATTCTAAACTTTTTGCTTGCAAAAATTAAATTCATATTGGAATTGCCCATTTTTAGTGGTTGTGTATCTTTTCCTCACCAACATACACCCATCCATGCCCATGCCACCTCTCGACTAGTTGGATAAGATCGAGATAAGAACAATAACATCATTGATAAAACGATTTTCTTCGCTCGTCCTTTTTTTTTTGTTGTGTACGTTTTTGACAAAGTAATACTTAAGATTCACATATTGAACTGTTATAGAACAAGTAAAAATAAATGAAAATGAAAATGATGGCGCTTTCTTATTCACTGCATGATTCTTTGAACTTGTGCCTCTCCAACTGTTCCAACGCATAAACAAACAGAACAACTACGTTCACATTATTACGATCTATTTAGTCGAAGAAAAGAAAAAAATGAATACTGTTGGTTGTAACCCGACCATTTCTTATCCGTTTATCTTTATTTGACATACAAATGCACTCATATGACGACAACACAAGCAAGGGATTAACTAATCCATTGAAATAATTGGAAAAGAAAACAATTTCGAATTGATAAAGGTCTCAGTTATTTAGTCAGTTATTGACGTTGTGAAAAAGGTGATACTTTGTTCATACGTCGTAAATGAAATGTGTTTTGAGGTTTTCTTGTCTCAGGATTAGTCCGTTTGAGCAAAGCTCGTTTACGACGAATCTGATCAGGTTCTTCACGAACTGGATCAATACCAAATCCATATTTGAGTATATCAAGTACGATTATAAAACTGACAGCACTTAATATGGCAATGATAGCAACGTATGCAAAACCTTTTGAAATATATTGTCGAATGACAAAACTTGTTGCTAAGTGTTCACAGCGCTGTCCATAACTGCTAAACAGACATTCACATTTGTAATTGACGAGTAACGATCGGCAGATGCCTTTATTTAAACATGTTACATTGTCGCAATAGTTAATCAAGAGTTCGCAATGGATGCTCATATGCCCTTCTGTACAATTACAATGAAAATGTGTGTTGTTCAATGCATTGCAGATACCTCAATTAGAAGAACATTTATTTTAAAGAGCTAAGACATAGATTAAGTGGGTCTGTACCGTTATATAAACAAGTGTTCGGTTTACAAGGTTGAATAGCAACTTCACAATCGACACCAGTGAAACCTGGCTTACACATACAATGATAACCACGAAGAAAACTAGAATTATTCGTACAGTTGCCCAAATTCTGACATGGGTTGTGAACATCACAAGGCTTCATTGAAATATTGCAAGAGACTCCAATATAAATAGAATCATTACACTTGAGTGGAATAAAGTAAGAAGGTGATAGTCCATCTAGGATAAAAAAAGAAGAAAAATTCTATCCTGTAAAAGAGATAATCAAATCAATATTTCGACTTTCTTAATCAATTGATCAATATGCATAATACACAACATTTTTTCGGTGAGCTTCAACAATGACAAAAGTGAAAGTAAATGTGAACTCTTACTGTTCGATAACGTCGTCGCTTTATCTGTTGTGGTTAACACTGTTGTTGATGCTAGAAGAACTAAAAGTATAATTACAGAAAGATCATATTAGTTTCAATGCCATTATAACGATCGAAACATCAGTTATCACACTCAGAATTTTTATTGGCACTGGAGTTTGATGACAGCTAATTATCATAATCTGATCTTAACCATTTATGATCTTATTTTCCGTCAAATACATCGATTTTGCATAGACCCAGATTGAACAGTACGGCACGTAAACGGCCGTATTCGCCTCAATTACGGTGCAATACGGTGGCATATTCGATGTTTGTTTACGCTGCTACGTAAAAATACCGTACTCAAACGCCGTATATGTATCGTGCCATGAAAGTGTTGTATACAGTAGCTGTTTACATGCTGTAACTACGCCGTACCTACGTCGCATTATTAAAGCGAGTACACTTTATCATTAGCTACCATTACATTGTATACAATCAATGGATATTCCTGAATCCTACCTAACATTACCAAGTTTCCATGATCTAATGTCTCTAGGAACCTCTTTCTGATAAAAACATTTATATATATATATATATATATATATTTGTTGTGTGTTTAAAAAACTCTTTTTTTTTTGTTGATCAAATTTCCATTTGACTTTTTGAGAAATCTTTACATATTAAGCGATTGTTTCTTTTGAGCTCTACCCAGTTCGATCCAATGGAATATTTAAAAGTACCTATGGACTATGTTTCATGGATACCAATTTAAAATAAAGAACTATTCTTTTTTATTTAGATTGATTCTCGAAACGAGTACAAGAGTAAGAACTAATTTCCATAAAAAAATTATATATTTCGTTGGTGGAACTCGCATATATTTTCGAAGAAAATAGTGAGTGTAAGTGTTAAGGTCAAGTTATTACAGACACCCCCATTAGAGGCCTTAGCAATCGCGAGTAACATAGATCAGACTTTCTATAGTTTTTTTGCAAAATTGATTAAATTATAATTTTGAAAGGTAATCAACATCATTGTTTGTGAGTTGATTAATATATATAGTAATGCATAATAAGATCTGCTGTAGATATAATGGATATGTAAAATAGATGTATTTGCCAATTAATTCAATGATTTTAATAATAAAAATGTTAAATTAACAAAAACGAATTTAAAAAATGAAAAACAGGGAGTAAATAGCAACACTGCAAACAAAAATAGGACGCCTGTAGAAAAAAAATAAAAAATTTCTGTTCGAAATGCAGAAATTAGAAAGATTTTTACTACAATGTTCGATTATCCTGCAAAACAACTATAGTTTACAAGAGAGTTTCCACTTTACATATGTTGTATTAGTTTAATGAGACTCGAGAGCATATGTAGGTTCCACATTTCAGCTCCAAAGGTACTGCGCTAACAAGCCTTTTTTTACGAGAGGCGGACGCAATGGAAAATCATCCCTCTCTTTAAAGAGATTACAAATATTTACAAAAACGAAATTGAAACGTACGTGTTGATAGATCAATTGTTTTGGTACTTGTCACTACAGTTGTAGTTATAAGATCATCTAAAGTATATTTGTAAGTTCATGACTTTTGTTTTCAATGACAATTTCTGATCATATACATACCATTATATTCAGTTGATGTTGAACTGACTTCTGTTGAAATTTCTGCTGAAATCATAGACAAGTTAATGACAATTCTAGTGATGGAAAAAAGTAATATCAGTTACCCAAATGTGTAGTCAGTAATATATTCTTTGCTGTTATGATTTGATCTATATTAAATGTATAGTGGCATCATATTATGTTTCTCATTTATCATATTTACGATGAGAATGAATCAACAATTAAATATCACGTCTAGACAAGCATACGAGATCTATAGAGAAGTTCAGAGAATTCTCTTAAATGTTCATAATTATTCAAACATGTCGAATTTTTGCCATAACTAATTACGCGTACAACAAAAGCTATCGAATTCTATAATTTATCGGAAAATTTTCATGGATCAACTTGCCAGTCATATTATCGAGTTTAGAGCCTGTACGAAAGTAAACATGAAAAAAATATTAAAGACTATTTTAGCGTGAGATATTGTTCATAAATCGATTCTGCATGGTCGTTAGATTATTCTCATGTGTCCGACAAAAATAAATGTTCTCTTCTCGAAAGGACAAATTTCCAAGAGATAATCATTAATAATAATACGAAAATAAATCCAGTTGTATGAGAAAAAGTGCTTCTTGCGAAAAGAGTAAAGCTGTATTTTTTCAAAGTTTTACATCTACCTATAGAATGGTTTATGCATACTGACCATTCTTTGATTTTTGATTTTTAGCATGTTATTATAAATACTTTGGAGTTTCTTTTATGAAAATGACTACATCAAACTACAAAACAGTTTCTTTGGTTTCTACTAATAGAATTTCAATATGTGGCAAAGTTCAATAGAAATTATTTAAAATTCTTTTTGGACTTGTTTATTTTTTGCAATATATGTTGATGGTAGCAGACTTTAGTCGATTTTTGAATCAGTTCATTCCAACAACTAACTGAAAAAATAATCATCTGAGATCTTCACCTGATCAATCACTATCTATAGTAAATGATGAAAGTTTTTTGTTATGCTTTTACAAGGTACATTTAGAGTATGATAGCAGATTTGATCTTACTCATAGGTCTATTGATCATCTTATGATTCGGCTTATCATCAAGTCGTTTCATTTTGTGGATAATTCATTCTCGAAACAATATTCGAAGAACTCCGCATTTTATGAGTGTAAAACTGCAAGAGCTGATACGAGTATAACATGGAAGTGTCACTAGAGCCAACAAAAACATGATCCTTACTTCTTTATAGTTATAAATAATATTTTTTTGAATTTCTTTATTTCAAATGAAATGATTTGAGCAATAAAACAAATGTTCTGTACTAGAATATCACATTTTCCTCGACCGTCATAATGTTCTTCAACCGATCGTTATTTAGTTAATCAATTCATAGACTACATTTTGTTTTCCCAATTATTGAAAGTTTGCTTAAAGAGCGTCGATTCAGCAGTCGACATTTATTCCAACAATGATAAATATTAAATGGTGCATAAAGCATGATGTGGGTGAGTCTGGATCTGGATCTAGCTGTCAGTTTCAGTCTTCTGCCCACCCACACTCACACCCCTAAAGATAACTCATTTGCAGTCCGTAGAACCGTCATCTCCAACCAATTCTTCGAGTGATACCGACTCAATTTTGATCGTTCTATCTGATGCTATTGTCGGATTGGACAAAAAACGAACAATAGATGCAATATTTGGTCAGAATTGGCTGAAAGTCTTGAAGTTTTCGCCAATTCCGATCAATTCTTGTACGTTTCAATCGGCTTTCGCCAAATTCAACAATGGTATCAGCCAGAACGATCAAAATTGACCCGATATTACTTGAAGAATTGGTCGAAGTTGACGGTTTTGCGTACCGCAAATAAGCAATCTTTAGTGTCAAAAATCAGAAATTCGTACATCTCTGATAAAGGCATTTATATACATTGGTTGTGTTTAAAAAATCTTTTTTTTGTTGATACGAAGCTTCATGTAACTTTCTGATCGTTTTTTACGTATTAAGCGATTGCTTCTGTTCAGCTCTATCCTGTGCAATCAAATGTGGCGTTTAAAACTACCTATGGCCTACGTTTCATAGATGTCAATTTAAAATAGATAAATATTTTTATTTAGATTAATTCCTAAAAAAGTACGCGAGTAGAGATGTCATTTTCCTGTTAATTTAAAATAAATATAAATTATTTTTTTTCATAAGTTATTTTAAATATAAATTACTGATAATTTAGTTTCCGTATAAATTAAATTGAAACCAAATGTAAACTGACACCTCTATAAACGAGTAAGTATTTATTTAGATAAATGCATCTTCTTTTTTTTTGTTTAGATTGATTCCCGAAACAAATACAAGGGTAAGAGCTAATCTTAACAACAAGATTATATATTTCTTTTTTTTTACTCGAGAACGGTGTAATAGGCGGGGATGGTGGAAAACGTAGAAAAGGAAAACGCAGAAAAGGAAAATGTAGAAAAAAAATAGTGGAAAGGAAAATGCAGAAAAGGAAAACGTAGAAAAGGAAAATGCAGAAAAGGAAAATATCGAAAAGGAAAATACAGAAAAGAAAAATATCGAATACATTCGAATGATGTCCCTAGAGAAATAAATTCTGTATTCTTATTCTCATTGGTCTCTCTCTCTCTCCACATGCAATATTTCTGATCGAATAAAGAAATTTTTCACATATTGAATTGATATATTATGAGAATGACGACAAATTTAGATTCTGAAAATAGTTCATGTAAAGCCCAGCATTTTGATATATCGTTCTGTACAACCAACAAGGGAAAACCATTATTAATATACAAGAATTACTTATTCAAGTGCAATAAAACTACAGTGAATAAAAAATATTGGTTATGCAGTGAGCGAGAATGTGGTGTTTATATACACACAACAATTGATGGTGAAATGATATGTATCAATGGTGATCATAATCATCCTTTCAATCCAGATCAACTAGAAGCTAAACTATTACGAGATAAAATCAAGGAACGAATAATAAGTGAAACAACATCAATTACGAGGATATATGATGAAGAAGTAGCTAAAGCAAATCTATCCAAAGGTGCAGTAGCAGTTTTACCAACTGTAGTTGAATATAGTATGTATTACTCTGTACATTAGTGAAATATTTCGTTTCAAATGTTTTTTTTTATATTAAGGGTCTAACATGAGTAAAGCACGACGAAAAAATACACCTGTAATACCATAATCTGAAATATTCGAAATTCCAGAATTATATCAACAAACATTATCACACAAACGATTTTTACTTGCAGATGTATGTTTAAAACGTGGAAAAAATCGTATTTTGATTTTCTCAAGTGATCAACAACTAGAACTGTTATTCGAGAGTAATACAATTTTCATGGATGGTACTTTTGATACCTCACCCGGTCAATTTAAGCAAGTGTATTTGTTTCATGCTCATAAATTCGGTCAAGGTACGTGATAGATCAGTTATAAAATCTTTAATACATATATTTACCCTCTCGTATTGCAGGATTACCAGCTGCATTTTGTCTTTTGCCAAACAAGCGTGGTAAAACATATACAACATTATTTGAACTACTAAAAGATCAAGCAACTGCTATGGGAAAACAATTTAGTCCTCAACGTATTGTATCAGATTATGAACCCGCTATGTTGCCTATTGTTCAACAAGAAGTGAGTGTTTTTATCTCTATTATACGTATTCAGCGTATGTAAGAGATTTTTTTCATTAATTAGTTTCCTGGTTCAATTCATAATGGATGCATGTTCCATCTTCATCAAGCAATACACCGGAAAATTAAAGATTTAGGTTTAGCAACTGAATATTTACATGATGAAACAGTTCGTGATCAATGTCGGCAGCTGATGGCGTTAAGTCTGCTGCCAAAAGATCAAGTTGAGAGTCAATTTCAACGCTTACAAACAACGACGTCACCAGCATTAGGTGAATTATTATTATATTTTAAACATCAGTGGATGTATGGCGTTGTTCCGCTCGAAATGTGGAACTTCCATGATGTCATTCATCGTACAAATAATACTTCTGAAGGTAAATAAACTGCTAATCTTCATTTTTTCATTTTCGAAGGGCTTGTCCTTCGATACTTATATTTTAGCTTATAATCTTCGATTTGCAACTCGATTATCAAAAAAACACCCAAACATCTGGAGTTTCATTCAACCAATTCAAAGTGAACATGCTCGTTTTGTACATATTTTAGTTCAACTTGAAGCTGGTGCATCTGCACCGAAACAATCAAAAAAAACAACAGCTTTTCAAATGAGATTTGATACTTTGCACAACAGATATCTGAAGAAGGAAATCAACGCAACTGAACTTTTGTCAGGTTTATCACTGTTAGTTGGAAAGAAAAAAAATTAGATACATTCATATTGTCATTTTCTTTCATCTTTTTTATTTTAAATTAATAAAGCATATATATATTTGTCACTGATCAAAAAAATAACATTGATCATTTCGACGTTTTCCTTTTCTATATTTTCCTCTTCTAGATTTTCCTTTTCTACGTTTCCCTTTTCTATATTTCCCTTTTCTACGTTTTCTTTTTCTACGTTTTCCTTTCGACTATTTTTTTTCTACTTTTTCCTTTTCTGCGTTTTCCTTTTCTACGTTTTCCACCAAGATCTAATAGGCAGTCACTCCTTTCTTCCATGATAAGAAGCTCATGTAAATACAATGACAAATGAGAGTATACGAACGTAAAGAAGATGTTGTAATCAAGTCATTTACGGTCGTTTACGGGCACTGTATCAAAGCGCCTAGAGAACAGCAAACACAAAGTCTCACTTTTATATCCAATATAAATCAAGCATAAACAATAGGTTGTCAGTGTTATAAATATTTACAAAACGAAATTGAAACGTACGTGTTGATAGATCAATTGTTTTGGTACTTGTCACTACAGTTGTAGTTATAAGATCATCTAAAGTATATTTGTAAGTTCATGACTTTTGTTTTCAATGACAATTTCTGATCATATACATACCATTATATTCAGTTGATGTTGAACTGACTTCTGTTGAAATTTCTGCTGAAATCATAGACAAGTTAATGACAATTCTAGTGATGGAAAAAAGTAATATCAGTTACCCAAATGTGTAGTTAGTAATGTATTCTTTGCTGTTGTGATCTGATCTATATTAAAGAATCTGATAAAAAATCATGAATGTTTCCTCACTCTGGAAACATCATAAAATGGAAGTACCTTGACAGTATACAAATACTCTGATGTTAGTTTCTTACGAGAGACTTTGTGAGTTGATCGAGAAAGTCTATTGCATGGTCGAAGTTATCATATACTTTTTGTTTACACCAATTGATTCCTCGCATAAAACTGGAGTTATGAAAAAATTTTTAGGTTTTTGTGATTTAATTTGGGTGTGGGGCGTGGGTGTGGATGTAGATGTCGATGAAGGAAAAATGCCACTCACACCCACACCCACACACCCTCAACTATAATTAGTATGTTTACATCAAAATGTGACATGTTTTTACGGTTTTGAACTGAAAACCTCCAAATATATAGGTAAACGTTATCTCTAGATATTTGAAATCTTAAAAATATCTTCCAGGATCCTCAGAATCGCATTGGTTTTCTGAAAAACCATTATAATTAAAACTATGGAAATAAGTGACACACAATAAAAGATCCAGGGAAATTTTAAACGCTTGGACATAACAGAAAACGCTGGACCTCTTATTCAGCGGAGTTAACTTAGTTCACGATGACATGCTTTCTGATATTGATAAAAATTTATGTAATACAAATGATTTATGTTATTTTACACTGTTTAGCTAAGTAGAATACTGCAACTACCTGCAAAAGGAGTGGACATACACCTGATTGCTTCAAGTAACTGTGATATAAGGTTATCATCTGTTACATCTTGCCAGTCTTCGTTTTGCCACTTCCACCATTTTTTTTGGTAATTCTGTTGATAAACAACTTTATTCAAATACACCAGAAATAAGACACCCTCAGAGAACCTAGCTTCTATCCCATTCTTAGTAATTTTGTCACGAGAATCAATCGTCCATATTTGGCCATTTGCATCAATAATAGTCTGATTCGTTTTGTGTTTAACGGTGGCACCATTACATGATTGTGTATTTGCTAAAGAAAAAAAATATAAGCGAATCATATGATGTATGACTAAACTCTTGAGGATTTCTGAATTCAAAAATCGATCAAAAATAGAAAGCACTGGTCTATGGAAACGAAACATAAACATAGAAACTCAAGGATCTCAAGGGATTCCTAGGATGTTAGCAATTCTAGAACTCCAGCAAAACAAGGATGTTAAGAAACTCGAGAACTCTAGAAAATAAAAGATCTCAACGAGATCTAGAAACTCAATGTACTCTCGCACCTCTACCAACTGAAGAAGGTCAAGGTACTCTAAGAATCCCAGAACTGGAGTAACCGAAGTATTTCGAGGAACTGTAACAGCTCTAGGATCTCAATGAACTTAAGAAACATTTGGAATTCTAGAAACCCAAGGTCTCAAGGAACTGCTGGAGCGTGTGTTATTGAGTGTTGGTACAGAACAAATCTAGATCTACACTCACATTTACATCCGCCGACAACTTTGTAGGATCCAACATAATAGAAAACGCGAGTCTCCTATTCAGAGAGAAGGAGAGAATGTTAGTTCACGACGATATGCTTTGTGATATCGATGAAAATTTATATTATATGAATGATTTATGTTATTTAATACTGTTCAGCTAATTAGAATACTGCAATTACCTGAAACAGGAGTGGACATACACCTGATTGCTTCAAGTAACTGTGATATAACGATGAAAATTGTTACATCCTCCCAGCCTTCGTTTTGCCACTTCCACCATTTTCCTTCGTAATTCTGCTGATAAACAACTTTATCCAAATACACCAGCAATAAGACACCTTCAGAGAAGTTAGCTTCTATCCCATTCTTAGTAATTTTGTCACGAGAATCAATCGTCCATATTTGGCCATTTGCATCAATAATAGTCTGATTCGTTTTGTGTTTAACGGTGGCACCATTACATGATTGTGTATTTGCTAAAGAAGAAACCATACGTAAATCATATAATGTATTAATGAATTCCATATATTTTCTCGCTTTATATTCTTATCATCATCTAGATTTGAAACTAGACGGAAGTGATATCGAAAACTCATGTTATAAATAAGATTTGTAAAGATGCTATTTGTTGCTTCAGGAACCCCTTTCACCTATAATTTGACAATTGCCAAGAAGTAATTTTTCTTCACTTTTAGAACTTTTCAAGGTCGATCTAATCATATAAAAGAAGATATTTTTAAAAAGCTCCTAATATCTCAACAAAATAAGTCAGCTTTGTAAAGCATTCTGCTGATAATTTTGTTCGAGTTGCCAATCATCTTACGAGTATCTGGTCTTTTGTTCGTCATACCAACAGAATCTGCATCGTAACAATAAAGTCTATTAATTGATACAAGTCAACATTTATTTTATATGATTCAATGAAGCAACAATACTTGATGGTGTTCAGTACGGATTTCATTGATCGATTTCGTATCTCGAGAACATAAAGGGAAAGAACAAACGCATTTAAAACAATAGCTAAATAAGTTTATAGAACTCATCGAAACCTGCAATACTATGCACAAGTTCACCTATAGTTTTGTTTAGACTCAACTCTCTAAATAGTTTTGTAAAAAGATTGTGGTTGTTGCTGCGTCGTAATATGGTAGCATCAAATATAATTAATTTATGAGGAAGAGATAGTCACATTGTAAAATGATAATAGTGATTAGTTTTTTATGTGGTGACTTAATTCTGTATGAAGATCCTATTCACGACACGAACGAGTTCCTTTCTTAGAACTGGAGCAATATTAAGACTGAAAAAGGATTCGGCCTATTTTTGGTCGAAACCTAGCTGTGTAAATAAACGTACCACCAAGGAATCTTCGAGAGGAGTGCTTTATTTCAATCTTTTATTTTTCATCTATTATTTGAACAATAAAATAGGTAATTTAATATCTAATTTTGCTTAAACTCATTTTATCTCATTATAAAGAACTCTTACCATGGGAATTTGCACAGAAAGAGATCCACATGATAATTAACGCTATGATGCTCCGATTTGATATTTGAAACTAAAATTTCAAATGTGATCAATAGAGAAAGATGATGAAACGTATTATACCATATCAATTAAGCTTTCGCCAAGAATTAGTTATTATTATTCAACGTCTCACTAAGTTTAAATGATCATGATATTTTATACAATTATAGCTAGTATTTATCTCAACTATTTGTAGAGAAACATTGTCATGTTTTAAATGTTCCAATAATTATAAATGGCAAAAGTATCAAGTTATTTTTATTTAACTGTTAACATAAAAGTAATGCGAGATTATTGTGGTTGTGTCAATAATTGAGACATGAGAATTTTTTTTATTATGGTCAGTCACATAATCGACAAGCTGTTTTTTTTCTACGCGGTACAAATTCAAAACTATTCTCTTATTTAATTAATGGATCAAAAAATAATCGAATATATTTTCTTTGAGAAAATTGAAATGAATCAAAGTGTGACTTATATTATTTCATTGGTCATAATACAAAAGAGAAAAGTGCTGGATTCTTCGAAATGTAAGGCGAAACAGAACTTGGTAAAGGTGATCTCAAATGTTGGACTGTTTTCTTACTTTCGAAGGCAGTCGATAAACAGTTTTGATAGTTTGGCACCGATGATGACTTCAGTATATTTGCTATGGAATCCACAGCAGTGACTAAGATAGTTCAAACATTTCGCAGACTTCAGCCACCACGCAGAGTTGAAATTAGACTGAGTTATTGACAATGACTTCAATTGTATACCGATGTAAATCGATAGAAAATAATATATTATCGATGCAGATTTAGAAGTTGAAGATATCCTAGGAATGCAACTCTGTCGAGAGATAAAATGGAAATAGATGGCACTTGTTAAACTGGTAATATGATTTTTACTTTGTTGAACATAACTAAAACTCACTCTTAAGTTTGCTGAATAGATAGGGTATGGCTGTGGATGTGGATGTGGGTGTGAGTGAACAATAAACACCCACACACACGCCCTAGTTTTTGACATAGAAAACTCGCTCAGAACCTCTCATGAAGCCTTGAAAAGTGGTTTTCTGTAGGTTTCGCGACGTACTCTATCAATTAGACAGATCAAAAAACTTTTTTAGCGCAAATGGTTTTTCGGCTTGAAAACTAAGATCTTCAAAAATCTGGGCTTTAAAGTCAAAATTAGCTCAAACCATTATGAAATTCGGAATCGGCATGCTCGATTACCCCCGGTCAACTGAGTCTCAGCTCAAAAGCGAGGGAACACTTGGTG